TGAAAGAGTCAATAAATGAACTTATCAGGTTGATCCCTCTGCATGATGAGCACGAGACATTCTGTCTGATATGCAAATTAATGGAAAATAAACACAGCGGACTCAGTGTGCAAGGTGTCTGTGCGTAAAGTTTTTTTAATGGAGCTGAAAAAAATGGCCTCTGTACAAAGGCCTTTACACCCACTTTTTTTTTTTATCATACTTGTCACATAATGAGACAGTTACATTTTTTAAATCTACAAGCAGTGTCTAACTTCCCCAACAGAAAAGTGGAATAACACAACAAAGCTAAAATTCTCCCTTCTTTCTGATTCATCATTAATGTGTGTTGTGTTCACTGCTTAGGAGGATCCTGAAGAAGGTGTCGCTTACGCCTCCGTCAGCTACACCAAGAATTGTAACAGCAAAGTCAAGGTAAGCGCTCTGATTGGACACACAACTGTTCATTTATATCGAGCTGTCGAGACATTTTAAGCTTGGGGGTGAAAGGTCACAGGGGTGGGATAATAACTTGTTCCCAAAATATATTCATCCTGTTCCCACAACATAATGATATTGTGCACACAAGGTTTTCAATTTTCACAAGATTAATAACTAGTTCCCAAAATATGAATATCTTGTCTGACAAAAAAACAACTTATGGGGAGATGGTGGCATCATTTAAATTAAGTAATATGCAGTATTAGTTTTTAGAGTGAAGATTGATATTTTTTTCTACTTTTTTTTTGCATAAATCTCTTAAACATCTCCAACCCTGCTCAAAACTAAAAAACAATCATTTGTAGGAATTTAACCCTTTAAATGCCAGTTTGATTACTTGATGTCACTGTTGTTATTAGTTCCTGTAGGTAGGTATTAGGTAGTTCCCTGTTTGGACACTGGAGGGCGAAAATGTCCAATTTACAAAAACTGCTATAAAATAGAACAGATTGATATTTCTTTCCACTTTTTTTTTTTGCATAAATCTCTTAAACAACTCCAGCCCTGCTCAAAATTATCAAATATTGAATAATTATCAGGAATTTAACCCTTTAAATGACAGAATCATGTAATCAAACTGGCATTTAAAGCGATAAATTCCTAAATATGATTGAATGTTTGTTAGTTTTGAGCAGGGCTGAAGTTGTTTAAGAGATGTATGCAGTAAAAATGAAAAAAAAATATCAATCTATTCTATTTTTATATTCTACAAACATCGAGAGAGAAACCCACTAATCATTACAGCCGGGGATCAAACCGGCTGCTTCCTGTGACAGGTGTCATCGAGGCCGTTTGGACGTCATCACAACCCGTTTAGCTTCTTCATCACTGTAACCCCAACGAGCACCTTCTTTTAAAAAATGTGCCCCCCCCCCCCCCACACAGAGAAACCCTGAGCTTGTGCATCTTTCTGCCTTTTTTTAAATCGCAAACAAATAAACATGCAACAAAAAGTTATGTAACAGCTGATTCCAGTTCTGCAGGTTACACATTCCTCGACAGGTGTGACCGAACACCTTTTGTCTTCAAACAGCTGACTCCTGCTTTGTTTAAAAGTGAGTCAGTGGTGGTGGATTCTGGGAAAACAACAACTTGAAAACTTGCTGCAAGCTGCACAACAATCCTGTGAAACCCTGGAGATAAAAAAACACTCAAAGTGTCAATCAAATCAGCAAAGCAGTCATTTAACAACACTGCTGCTCTGCTATATTTGTGAGGCGGACCCTCCTTCAACCTGCCTAACCTTCCCCGTCACCTGACCCTCCACCTTCACCCTGACCTCCACCTGAGTCAAAGCCCTTAAAAAAAACAAACACATCTTCACCTTCAAACAGCCGTTTGGAGAGGTCAGAACCAGAGAGATGTCCTCACTCTAAAGGTTTTAAAAACAAACATCAGACGTCCCGGGTGAAGAACATAAACAAGCACACCGTCATATTTACCAGAATAAATACCTCCTACACTCACATTCATCCATTACCTAATGGAAAAAGTGAAGCCTGATTATGAATAACTTAATGTTCTGCTCTCGTGCAAACCGAGTCAAGTGATAATTATCAGGTGGAAAACGTGCAGACGTCGAGAGTGAGGGCGACCACTATTTGCAGCGCCGCTCGCCCAAACGAGAGCAAGAGCCAAAGAGATAAGGAGGTGCATTGGTGTTTTCATGAAAAAAATTAAGGAATCTTTTTCAGACATCTCAAAATGTGTCTCCTGTCCCATTTTGTAAAATAAATTGTGAGAGAATCGTATGAAGAGCAGCGTGAATCGTTACATCCCTATCAGGAAACAAACAAACCTGATGTCACTTGTAAAATCTCCTCAAAGCGATCAGAAAACAAACAAACAAAGTGTTTCTCTCTGAAAGACAAAAACTCCCTTAAACCTCAGGAGAAGGAAGTTGTTACCATTGTCCTACAGCCGAACGCCATGACGTCTACCTCACCCTGAAACAGATGGATTAGCGTGAAGTACGGGAGAATTACTGTCCCCTTTAAACAAACCCAGTGTGTGTGTGTGTGTGTGTGTGTGTGTGTGTGTGTCAATACTTTGTCATACGTCTGATAAAGGTTAATCGGGTGATGAAGTTACTGACCCTCGCCCATTATTCACGCACGCTTCTGCACACTCAGCAGCGCCGTCTTGAAGGTTGTCCAAAGAGGCGTCACAGCCAGAAGAAGTTCAATTGTTTGGTTTGGTTTGTCCTTTCAGGGCTTCTGTAGAAACATGTCAGTGAAACATGGTGACTCTGAAGACATGAATTTAATATTCCATCAGTCAATGGTTCTCTTAAATCACGCCAATAAATTCTCAGATCTTACAGCGAGGGATTCTTTCACAGCCTATGAACAGATCTCTTCTCAGCTGTCTTGGTATGAACTTTCAAGACAGCCTGACCCTGAAATCGTCACATATATGCCTTAAAGGTGTCATTCATTCAGTGTTTTAAAGTCATTAAGTAAAGATTTGTTTGTGAGGGAGAAGTTTACAGTTCGGCCTGGAGTTTCTGTTCAAATACGACAAAAGGTCAAGAAAGGGGACGGATTCAGAAACAGAACTGTTGGTAAAAAGTCATGAGTGACTCGTGTCCTTTTATCGAAACAGAATCACATCAACTTTAAGATGTTTAGGTATCTTTAAGAACTCTGGAGGGAGGAAAGGTGGATAAGATCTTTAACTTAAAGAGTGTGGGTAGAAAACTTCTCAGGGTCATAAAGGGAAGTCTCTGCTACCACAGGAAGTTGATTCTCTAAGCCTCTTGAAGAAACGCTTATTAAGGAAGTAACACATCTAAAAGCACGACAACAAGAGGATGAGACAAAGAAGCAGGATGCATCAACTCAGAAGGACTAAACTGTCTTTAATTGTGATACTAACGCTGCTGGTTACAGGTAAGAATTTACTGTTTGCTCTGAATTTCATTACGTTTTATTACATTTTCAAACATTACAGTTTATAATACATAAAAACATTGATTGTTTAGTATTGATCACATATCTTCATTTCTGTTGTTTGTTGCACTTTTATTCTCTTACAAAACTATAAACAAATAAAAAGTACAAATTCATGTTCTTATTTTTTATATATTTCTCTTTGATCTTCATCAGCTGTAACTGGAGATGATACCGCCTCCCTCACAGTCAGACTTGGACATGATGTCACTTTGCCATGTGGAAATGTGATTAAAGATTAAAGACTTTTTTTTATACCGTTCGTTTTCATTAATATTAAGTTTGCTGCGACCTTAATCGACAGCAGAAGCCTCCTTGACCTCGTCTAAATCAAGAGGAGTGATGTCTACGGGGAAAACTACAGGGGGGGGGTCATTGCATTTAAAGAGACACACACCAAAACGGATCGTTCTGAGAGAGCTGGTTTATACAGGGTCACAAACCTCCTCTGGTGCTTGATTCATGTTTTATTTTGACCAAAGCACAGCACAGATGTTTCATTTAGACCACAGGGGACTGTTTGAAAAGGTGAAGGAGGGGGGATCACATGTCCTCTTTAATGTTTATGGTTTTTGTCAATTCAGAAGAAAAAATGGAAGTGTTCACAGAAATGTCTCAGTTCAATACAAACCTTTGACTCAAACGGGTAACTATAATCATTCTTCCTCAGTTTGCTGGTTTATAACTGCCCTGCTCCTACTTGATGTGTGTATAACTACCTCCCTTTACGGTTTGTATTTGTCACATCTGTATGTAGATGACAGTACTCCACGTTAAAGACTGTTACAGGAGTTGTTACGACAGCGTTATGTTTACGGCACTAGACTGCTTTACGACAGGCAGAACATGCTTTTGCACTGCGTTATTTTCTCTCCTGAAAATGGAGCTGTATGTTGATCACCTACAATAAACCTGTGTGGAAAAAGTAACTCGACCCTCGATCATTCTACAATATTTAGAAGATTTGTACCTCCTTATACTGAGAGTAGACTTTACTTGATGTTTATATTCAACCCTGCTTTTATTTTGAAATAAAGTGAGTGTGACACCTTTTCTAAAATCTGAAATGAGAAGTGTTTTTAACTGTTTTGCACTCTGTCCTCATACCTCCTGGTTCCCTCCCCTTTAGATCTACAGTTTGAGGATGGGTGTAACCAACAACACCTGCACAGTCACATGCACAGACACATGCTTTGTAGATCAGAGGTGAAACTTGTTCTCAGTTATGAGGAAGTGAATCTCAGACAGTCGTTGTTACCGAGAGGAGAAATGGCGCAGAAAGGAGTTCAGCTGGACCGGGAAACCTTCTCTTGTTCGATCTGTCTGGATCTCCTGAAGGATCCGGTGACTCTTTCCTGTGGACACAGTTACTGCATGAAGTGTATTAAAAGCCACTGGGATACAGAGGATGAGAAGACAGTCTACAGCTGCCCTCAGTGTAGACAGACCTTCACAGCGAGGCCTGACCTGAGGAAAAACACCATGTTGGCAGATTTAGTGGAGGAGCTGAAGAAGACTGGACTCCAAGCTGCTCCTGCTGATCACTGCTATGCTGGATCTGAAGATGTGGCCTGTGATGTCTGCACCGGGAGAAAACTGAAAGCCTGTAAGTCCTGTCTGCAGTGTCTGGCTTCTTACTGTGAGAAACACCTCCAGCCTCATTATGATTCACCTGCCTATGCAAAACACAAGCTGGTGGAGCCCTCCAAGAAGCTCCAGGAGAACGTCTGCTCTCGTCATGATGAGGCGATGAAAGTATTTTGTCGCACTGATCAGCAGTCTATCTGTTATCTCTGTTTAATGGATGAACACAAAGGTCATGACACAGTCTCAGCTGCAGCAGAAAGGAGCGAGAAGCAGAGAGAGCTGGAGGTGAGTCGACAAAACATCCAGCAGAGAATCCAGGACAGAGAGAAAGATGTGAAGCTGCTCCAACAGGAGGTGGAGGCTATCAATGGCTCCGCTGATAAAACAGTGGGGAACAGTGAGAAGATGTTCACTGAGCTGATCCGTCTCATGGAGAAAAGACGCTCTGATGTGAAGCAGCAGGTCAGATCCCAGCAGCAAACTGAAGTGAGTCGAGTCAGAGAGCTTCAGGAGAAGCTGGAGCAGGAGATCACTGAGCTGAAGAGGAGAGACGCTGAGATGAAGAAGCTGTCACACACACAGGACCACAACCAGTTTCTACACGACTACCCCTCACTGTCACCACTCAGTGAATCTACACACTCATCCAGCATCAAGATCCGTCCTCTGAGGTTCTTTGAGGATGTGACAGCGGCTGTGTCAGAAGTCAGAGATAAACTACAGGCCCTTCCTGAGAGAGAAATGGACAAACATCTCACAGACAGTGACTGAAGTGGATGTTTTACTGTCAGAACCAGAACCAGAGCCCAAGACCAGAGCTGAGTTCTTAAAATATTCATGTGACATCACACTGGATCCAAACACAGTAAACACAAAGCTGTTATTATCTGATGGGAACAGAAAAGTAACATTTTACAAGTCAGACCAATCCTTATTCTAGTCACCCAGACAGATTCACTGAATGGTGTTTTCAGGTCCTGAGTAAAGAGAGTCTGAGTGGACGTTGTTACTGGGAAGTGAAGAAGAGAGGAAGAGGAGTTTCTGTAGCAGTCACATACAAGAATATCAGCAGAGCAGAGAGTTCGAATGAGTGTAGATTTGGACGTAATGACAAATCTTGGGCGTTAGATTGTTTCAACAGTTATAACTTTTATTACAACAAAGTCAGCACTCCTGTCTCAGGTCCTTGGTCCTCCAGAGTAGGAGTGTACCTGGATCACAGAGCAGGTATTCTGTCCTTCTACAGCATCTCTAAAACCATGACTCTCCTCCACAGAGTCCAGACCACATTCACTCAGCCTCTACATGCTGGACTCGGGTTTTATTATTTTGGAGACTCTGCTGAGTTGTGTAAACTGAAATAGACAGAAGTCAATAATGAGACAGATGTTTAACTTGCTGTGTTTTAAATCTTCAACTTGATTTTTATCCACGCTCGTTGCTGAGATCTGATCGTGGTCACCTGTCAATCAAACTTTATGGGCGGTACTTTGACCTCTTCTCATTTGTTCTGTAAATGTTTGAGTGTCTTTAAGTGACACTCCTTCCTGTGTCTGTTTAGCCGTGGACTCTTTCACTGCTCAGGATGACTTTTGTTCACCTGAACTGACATTTCTCTGCGTGATAAATATCAACTTCTCTCTGCTCTCCATGTTTGATGATTTGTTTTCATACATTTATATTTTCTGTTCTGATTCAGGAGTCTGAAGAGAGAGAGAGAGCAGCGAACTTTTCTTTCATGCTGATTTTCTCTTCTCACCACTTTGTACATTTGTAGAAAATCTATAAAATCATACTTAAAGAAATGAGTTAGTCAGAATAAATGTTGTTGTTCGTATTCAAAGTGATGTAAAAATGTCCTCTGAGGTGTTTTAAAAATGTAATCCTCCTGATTAAATCAATAAGGAGATAAATCATTGTTTTCTGTGAGTGGAGATTCTGATCAAACAAAGTGATTGTGTGGATGAAGTGAATGTGTTCATGAAATGATTGAACACACTTTACTGATTTGATGTGTGAACAAACTGAAGTTTGACATCCTGAATAAACTCACATGAACTAAATGTTTTCTTCTGGTCTTCATTGCAAACGTTCAAGCGAACAAAAAAAAAAAATCCTGCTACTGTTTGTACCCGCTGAGCTTCTGTATTCAGGAAGTTCAGTAGGAAATAGATGAAGTCAAATAGAGGGGGAGGAGCTACAGAAGAGAGGAGTAATGACCAGGTTAAGTACTCTGCATATCACTGGAAAACATTCATCTGCTCTTTGTGAGGTATGCAATCAAGCAGAAGCAGGTGAACATGTACTTACTAAATGTAGGAAGTATGTAACACATAGACAGAACATGAAGTCAGAAATGGAGAGAGAGAGGGACTTGTAAGAAGAGAAAAGTATTTTGGAGGGTGGTGAAAGAGGGAGAGGCCGAAGATGCTTGTTTAAATCTCTTTTGAGAACAGGTCTGGTGAGGGATATTTAAATCCAGCAGATGGCAGTAATGACACTTTTCTGATGTCAGCTGCCAAAGAAGAAGAAGAAGAAGAAGAAGAAGAAGAAGAAGAAGAAGTATTCAATTACAAAATCAGCTTTAAATCTAATTAATATAGATGTAAAGGTACCATTTGTAAAAACTGAATACAGAAGTAGAATCAAAGAAGGTCTTGAGTGGGAGTGGAAAGAAACTTTAGGGGAAGGAAAAAAAGAGGCAGACATTATTTTAATTTACAACCTTTGATTAGGAAGTCTGTCAGTTATTCTGGAAAGTTAAAATAACTCGACTGAGGCTGGGTCACTGTGGGTTAAACCAATATTTACACTCTATAGGAAAACATCCCAGTGGGCTGTGTGAGTGTGGCGCTCCTGAAACAGTTATACACATATTACTACAATGTAAAAACTAAACCTTACAGCCCTCCCCTCCCCTGGTATCTCCATGGACTCCACCTCCAGCCTAGAACAAAACCTTTGAGCAGGTCCTCCATTCTTATTCTCTCTACAGAGGAGTGATGTCTACGGGGGGGGGGGGGGTCATTACATTTAAAGAGACACACACCAAAACGGAGCGTTCTGAGAGAGCTGGTTTATACAGGCTCACAAACCTCCTCTGGTGCTTGATTCATGTTATATTTTGACCAAAGCACAGCACAGATGTTTCATTTAGACCACAGGGGGGCTGTTTGAAAAGGTGGAGGAGGGGGATCATATGTCCCCTTTAATGTGAGGTTCTAGAGAGCAGCATATCAATCTGGACCACTGTAATCCTGAAATACACCTGGAGCTCCTTTTCAACAGGTCAAAACTCTCCTTTTTATACATTTAGTGAAAGAGTCAATAAATGAACTTATCAGGTTGATCCCTCTGCATGATGAGCACGAGACATTCTGTCTGATATGCAAATTAATGGAAAATAAACACAGCGGACTCAGTGTGCAAGGTGTCTGTGCGTAAAGTTTTTTTAATGGAGCTGAAAAAAATGGCCTCTGTACAAAGGCCTTTACACCCACTTTTTTTTTTTATCATACTTGTCACATAATGAGACAGTTACATTTTTAAAATCTACAAGCAGTGTCTAACTTCCCCAACAGAGAAAAGAAAAGTGGAATAACACAACAAAGCTAAAATTCTCCCTTCTTTCTGATTCATCATTAATGTGTGTTGTGTTCACTGCGTAGGAGGATCCTGAAGAAGGTGTCGCTTACGCCTCCGTCAGCTACACCAAGAATTGTAACAGCAAAGTCAAGGTAAGCGCTCTGATTGGACACACAACTGTTCATTTATATTGAGCTGTCGAGACATTTTAAGCTTGGGGGTGAAAGGTCACAGGGGAGGGATAATAACTTGTTCCCAACATATATTCATCCTGATCCCACAACATAATGATATTGTGCACACAAGGTATTCAATTCTCACAAGATTAATAACTAGTTCCCAAAATATGAATATCTTGTCTGATAAAAAAAACAACTTATGGGGAGATGGTGGTCTAGCGGTTAGGTCGTGCCCCATGTACGGAGGCTTTAGTCCAGGTTCAAGTCTGACCTGTGGCTCCTTTCCTGCATGTCTTCTCCACTCTCTCTCCACAAGTTCCTACTCTATCCACTGTCCTATCAGATGAAGGCTAAAGCTCAATAAATAAATCTTGAAAAAAAAGAAACCTGTGACTGAAAGATGAATATCATGTGTGCCAAAGATAAAACCTTGTATCTACAAAATGATTGATTTATGCCCACAAGATAGTCGTTCCCAAAAGACTAGTATCTTAACTTGTTCCCTCAGGATGTGTTAATGTGTGTGTACAAGATAAATAACTGTTGGCTCATTTGGATCCATTACTGATGATTTATAAAGAAACTCTATATTTAGGGTGTATGCATGTTTTAAACCACGTTATGAGTTTGTTATTGTAAAGTGCTTTTTGTGTTTTGTTTGACCTCAGGATCCTGCTTTGTTTGTTGCTTGCATCTTAATTTCAATGTGTTGAAATATGCTGAGTCATGTCCTGTTCTGATATGTTTCCTGCTGATTCTCGTATCCATAAGGCTGATGATGACGATGAAGGTGAAGCTGTGACGTACAGCACTGTGAGAGTTTCCTCCCCTGGTGCTGAAGCCTCCGTTGATCCCAGCGGCCTCTATGCCACCATCAACAAACCAAACAATGGAGAGACAAACGGATAGTTATCATGTCATTAATCTGATATCATATGTATATCTTAAGAGAAGAGTTTCATACGCTCACTTGCTACTTGACTTATTGCTTATTCTATTATTTCCATGTTTTTTATATTTTATGTATATATTTATTAGAATGTATTTAAATTCCATCAAGACTGAGATCATTTTGATTGGACCACAGCACCTGACTAAGCAAGTACTGCCATCTGCTGGTACCCTAGTAGACCACATCAAACCTGCTTCTAAACATCTGGGTGTCTGGTTTGACAGCAACTTAAATTTTGAGCAGCTCACAACAAAGCTTGTACAGTCTTGTTTTTTTCAGAAATATTTCTAAAATGTTTTAGATTTTAACTGTTAAAGACACAGAGATGATTTTACATGCTTTTATCTCATCACGTCTTGACTTTTGTAAAAGCCTTTTTACTTACCTGAACAAAAAAATCTATCGATGGACTGCAGTTGGTACAGAACTCAGCTGCCAGACTTTAAACTAGAACCAGAAAGCATGAGCACATCACTCCTGTTTTAGCATCTCTACACTGGCTCCCTGTGTGTTTTAGAATGGATTTTAAGATTTTACTGATTACTTTTAAAGCTCTCCATTCCCCCAGCTGTTTTCAGACCTTTTACTTCCTTACAAACCCACGCAGCACATTGAGATCCTCGGGCTGAGGTCTCCTGGTGGTTCCAAATGCAAAATTAAAAACAAAAGGGGATAGAGTATCGACCTGCCCGAGGAGATCAGGTCGGCAGAATCACTCATCTCTTTTAAGTCCTTTCTTCTTAAGACACACTTTTTCCGGCGAGCCTTTCCTGATGTTTGTTGATTTGAAATTGTTACTATTTTCACTTTTTAGAATTCCTTTAAAAGAATTGTATTCAGTTCTTTTAAAAAAGGATTTTTATTTTAAAGTGATTTTTATTCCTTAATCTTTCCTTGTTTGATATTCTATGACCTGCCTGTTTTTATATTTGCTGTCCTTGTAAAGCACTTTGTAACTTGTTTTTGAAAAGTGCTCTATAAATAAAGATTATTATTATTATTATTATTATTTGCATGTATTCATTCACCTTGGAGACTTTGTGGATATGTTAGTAGTGTTGCAGTGATCGAAATCGGTCTTAGTCTCAAGACCCGTCTTGTATCAGACCACTTTTTGAAGGTCTCGCTATCGTCTCTGAATCTAAAGCATTTTTACCCGCTCTTGTCTCGGCCTCAGACCGGGTGGACTCCAGATTTTAAACCAAGACTACCAATGATCTGCAAGAGAAACTGTAACAAGATAATCTCCTCCTAGGATTAATCAAATACTTCTGATTTTGTGCGACTGATATGTTTGAAAGATTTAGAACTTCATTGTTCTTCTGTGTATTACTTTTATACAGAGACATTCAATCTTTATGTTTAAGGTCTTGTTAGATTTTTTTCTTTATCTTATTAAAAGGTTTCTGTTTTCATTTCTATTCATCAACTAAAATCTCCTCACAGGAGCTTTAACCAGCTCAAAGCATCAATGCATGACGAAGGAGGGGATTGGTCAGGTTCAAGATTCAAGACTCTCTGCTACCACCTGCTGGATGGAGACCTGAAATGCCGTTATGAGCACATTTTTCCTGCAGCCCAAGAAGCTCTGATCTCCTGTGTTGAAGAGGAGTCAAAGGCGCAGTACAAATTGTAACAAGAGTCAGAGATAATAATAATAATAATGCTGATAATACTACATTTTATTTATGTAGCGCTTTTTAAAACACTTAAAGACACTTTACAGATTTACATTCAGACAAAAACAAGCTGAGGAAACACAAAAATTAAAACAATGTCCCAGGTTGTTTGAAGGTCAGGAGAAGGACTTTGAACTCGATTTGTTGGGGAAACGGGAGCCAGTGGAGGTTGTGGTGGCCAGGGTAATGTGGTCACAGGAGCGGGAGTGTGTGAACAAACTGACAAGTTGTGAAGTGTATTGAGGACTTTGGATGATAACCATAGAGAAGTCTATTACATTAATCAATCCTGAGGCTCAGCGTTCATTGAGCCCAGGAGGTTTTGTCCCGGCACCAGAGGCCGGGCTCTCCAGTAGACGGAGCTCCTCCAACCTTCAGCGAGGTGATCTGGCACTACCACCACCCGACGTCCCTGACGCCCAGTGTTACGCCGCTACACAAACCCACCGCTAAATGCTATCCTAGCGCCTGACGCTAAGGCCAGTGAGCCCGTAACTTAATGCCTCTCCTTACGTGTTGCGTAAACGTGAAGGTGTATCCTGCCTTACCTGAGTGTGTGTGCATCTGTCCTGTCTGTTTGAGGGGTGCGTGTAGGTGACTCACCTCTAAGATCCTCGTACGTGCCGCGACCAGCTCACTCGGACAGCCCGATCCACGGAGTCACTTGGGGTACGATCTCCTCCACCAGCCCTCTCCTTCATATCAGTTTAGTTCATGTGTAAAAAGAACCCGTGAAGTGTTGAAACAAAAACAAACGTTACTTCAGGTTCAGTCTCTCAGGTGTCTACGTCCTCGCGTCTTCCTCGTGGTGTCTCTTTGACTCCAAACCAATTTCTGCCGGCTCCTCTCCAGGTGCTGCTAATGAAGATTACAGAGACAGAGCCACCACACCCCCCCTCAGGTGTGTCATCAGTACTGACCCTGCTTCTCCTCCTACCAACCACGCCTACTGCTAAAGACCCTGAAGTGAATCCTCCTAACACATTATCATAACACCCAGCCTCCACCATCGGATTGTTTCATCCCCACAACCTCCGCCGTCCTCATTCATGCACGGCCTGCTCCGACCTCCACCTCAGCGGAGAGGAAGTGAGAACAACAGGAACGAGAGGAACACAAAGAAATCATTCCTGCATCTCATCCCCTCTCCCCCATCCCATTTTTCTTAACAATGAAGAATATTTTAACTGCTTTTTAAAGCGCCTCGAGATAAAACTTGATATGATTTGGCACTATACAAATAATGATTGATAGATTTGAAGGAGCCTTCCAAATGGAACAGCCCTCGATGCCCCGCTGTGATGTTATCAGTCTTCAAATGCGCCCTCAGAAGGATGCAGCCCTTTAAATGTTACATAGCTCATGTACCAACACTGTACCAACTCTGAAACCTTTTCTCATGAGTTCTCACAAAGAAAAAAAACGAGTCGCAATGAGGAACAAACGTTTCTCAAACCGCTAAAGATATCACCCCTCCCATTGGTCACATACAGCGCCATGAGCCGGAGGCATCACATCCATGTTGGGATGTTTTCCAGAGTTCAAGAGAGAATAACAAGATGAAGCGAAAAAAAAGATTGAAGTTGCTCAGAGGAAGTAAAAAAGAGAAGTTGAAGCTGTAACTCTCTATTTAGAGTGTTTGAGAGTAAAGGGTGTGTGAACGAGAGAGAGCACGAAGTGAGATCCGTCACTTCAGAAGGATTAAAATGTCTTTATCTGTGATACTGATGCTTCTGTTTACAGGTAAGAATTTACTAAAAAAACACATCCACCAATAAGATGCACTGCAGATGTTTTTAAACTATTTAAATGGATGACATCGATTTCAGTCAGATACCTAAGTTTACTCTCTCTTTTTGCTTCTTCTTACAAAACTATTAACAATTAACAAATACAAATGACTATTTATTGATTTTATATTTCTCTTTAATTTTCTTCAGCTGTAACTGGAGATGATACCGCCTCCCTCACAGTCAGACTTGGACATGATGTCACTTTGCCATGTAGAAATGTGATTAAAGATCAGCAGAAATGTGACAGTCCTTCTTGGCTTTTCAGTCATTATATTGGGAGCACAGCAGTAGAGCTGGTTACACTCGGGAATATAAGTAAAAATGAGAAAGCTAAAGCTAAAGCTAAGAGGCTAAATGTTTCAGAGGATTGTTCTCTGGTTATTAAAAGTGTCACACATGACGATGTCGGTCGTTACACCTGCAGACAGATCAGATCAGGAGAACAAGTTTCAGAAGCTCGTGTGTTGCTGAATGTTATTAACAGTAAGTGTTGATATGAATATTTTCATCTCAGATTCTCTTGTTGAAACATTATCCTGAAACATTGGAATAAGTCTATAAAAATGTGTGGAAGTTAAACTTACTCTTGTGTTCTCTCTCTCACAATATCTTCACCAGGTACCTCGGACGATGCCTTCAGGTTTTACTGCTCTGTGCTCAGATTTGGAGTCTGTGCCCACACAGTGCAGTGGTATTATAAGGGTGATGAGACAGATATATCAGAACACCAACAGGTCGACTGTACAGCTATTGTGTCATTTAAAACTCCTCATGTTGTTCAGAAGTCAAACTTTAATGAGTTGCTGTATTGTAAAGTAACAGACAATAAGAGTGGACAAACACTGCTGTGTAATGTTCTTCTCTAAGTCCTCCTGTGAGAAAACAGGTACGTCTGGTTTTACTTGATTCATTATTTAGTTAAAGTGCTGAACTCTGTTTTATCATCATATCTTCTGTTTTGTTTATTTATATCACATTCAAAAGACACAACAGGAAGCACATCAACAGGAGGAAACGAGATAACGGAGGACGAAACTCTGAAGAAACCAGGTAGAGTACAGACCACATTCACACAGCGGCCATTTTCCTGTGATGTCACACTCAGGCTGGTGTAAATGATATCACGTTGTACTGCTTTGTTCAGTGAAGCTCTCAATTCAATTCAATTCAGTCAGCTTTATTGGCATGAATGTGAAAATATCTCCATGGCTTATAAGAACAAATACTACAAAAATAATAACTACTAAAGATATTTTAACAAGAGGATTAATCATAAATATGAATAAACATCTCAAATATAATACAAAACAAATTAAAGAAATAAAGTGTAATTACATTTTTTTCCAATTGCTAAAACACAATTTTGCAAATTAGGCTGGTTTTATCAAAATACTTAACACAATTCACAAAACCACAAACTGCAAAATACCTCACATATCCTGCAAAATGAAGCACTAACCAAAACTACATATAGCTTATCAAAATCAAACTTTTGCACCAAATGGCCCACACTTCATTTATATTACCAGA